CAATAAATTTTTGTTTTTTAAATACCTGACACTCCTTAACATTTCAAGTCGTCGTTGATGACGATTAATTTCTTCCATACGTTTAGCTATTTTTTCATCAAGTGCTACTTCATCAATTTGAACATTATTTATTAATTTATCATATTTTATGAATTCACGCTTTAGAGAAAAAAGAAAGAAAATATTATTTAAATAATCTTTCATTTTTTTTTTTAATTAACATACTTTAGCTGCATTTTCAGCTTCGTGTATGCCTTCTTGAACTTCAGATAATTCCATAGCTCGATTTATTACTTCTTGTCGTGCTTCCTACATGAAATTTTAATCAATATATTAAACAAAATTCAATTTCATATATACTCGTGCATCAACTTCTTTTCCTAATAATTCATGTAAATTAGCACCTTTTTGTGTTATTGTTGAGCAAAGTAAACGAGCATTTCTAAGTGTACTCATCTGAAAAACTCATACACAAACAATTATTTAAAAAAAAAACCATAAAGACAATACTAACATCATCATTTATGGCATAACGATATTGATAATCAATATCATCTTCATCATCTAAATCTTTATTTTCACTATCACGTAAAGCTTTATAAAGTGGTGTTATAACTTTAAGAATTTCTTTAACAGCATAGCCATCAGCTTGATAAAGTTTCTTTGTATTTAATTTCATATGTGCTTTAGTAGCCTTAAATATGAATACAAAAAAGATTTCAAAGAACCAAAAAACAACAACATGAAATAATATAGATCATACAATAGTTTGAGCAATAGTACGAATAAACATAACACGATCTTGTTCACCTTCAATATCATGTGGAATATCAGCTTGTGGATCATATCTAAATTGATAGAAAAGAGAAAAAAAGAAAAGAAAAGAAACAATTTTTATTATACTGTTTAACAAGCCAAGTCATTAATTCAGCAACAAGACGAAAATTTGGTTGACGAAAATTTTCCATCGAAATTAAACGTGGATAGGAAAGAACTCGAGCCATCTCACATAGATCTCAATTTAATAAATAAACAGTATTATATATCATTGAAGAGAAATGAAACTACATACTACTAATATCTCGATAAGTCATTGTAATATAATACTAACAAATGTATCGATTTTTAGAAAGTACAATTCACAAATGTAAAACACCATGCATTGATCTGATTCAAATTGAATCACCTGGCAACTTAAAGTGGTAGAGGTCGCCGTTCAACACATTGATGGACATCGATTTCAATTAATATCGATAGGGAAAAGGTGATTTTATCTTCTGTTTACATCAGATGAGATTCGTTGTGAATTTCGCTGATGAAATTTCTCTTTAATTTCTTTTATAACAAGAAAAAAAAACATAAGATCGAGAATATTTTAAGATGATGAACATTTAATAGATAATCATCGCATATAATAAGAAACAAACTTTTTCCATATTTTTTGTTTTGGCTTGTAACTCTGTTCAGAAACATAAAAAAAAAACGTTGATCGTTTTTTTTTCAAAAGATGGATCATTGAGTGTTCTACTTGGATGATATTACCAACAGTATCATCTCCATACTTTATTTTGAGTATCATTTGAAAAATCGAGATGAATAATCTTTTAATTTGCTCATCATCAGTCTTGTTTCGCATAGTTCTGATGATTATCTTAAATAATTCAATCAAATAATGAAAATTCAACAAAGAAAATTTAAATAACAAGATTAAGAAAGACTATTTTATCAATCCATGTAGTCTATTTAATTAATTGAAATATTCTTAAACGAAAAGGAATTACGATGATTCTTGGAATGAGTAATAAAATATTTTGTTTTATTTCAAAAACCTCATTCTTTATCAAACGTCTAGAGAAAGAAAAACAATGACCACATGACTTATATTGTTTTAATTTTATTGTGTAAGAAAACTATTCAATTTTTAAGTATAACATTTTGAAAATCAGTTTTATTAAAAACTTCATTATCAGAAATATCCGTTTCTTCACTTGATGAAGCCCATCGATGTTTATATGTTAATGGTTCACTTTCAATATGATCAAAATTATCTTGATCATATTGTTGAAATCGTCGTTTTGTAAGCCATTCACTCAATGAACTTGTCTCACCTCCGACTGCAATAGCTTTTGATCGAGTCTTATTTCGTGAAAAATATTCTTTCTTTTTCCATGATGGAATTCTATTAATAATAATAATGAATATTAAAAGTCCGATTGATACTATTAATATTAATATTAAAATTATTAATAATAAATTACGATAACGACGTACAAAATGAATAATTTCTTGACGAAAAGTAATTTCCGAGTACGTTAAAAACAACAGATTTGTATTATTATTTGTTGATTTCAATATTGTTGTTGATATATTTTCGTTCATTATTACCCATTCATTTGGTGTTAATTTTGGATATATTGGATTGATATCATACAATGTTTGTGGTGGAATATCTGCAGTATTTGGAAGATAACTGAAGCAAAAAAATTAATCAAGTAAAGATCTGATCTAATTTGAATCGAATTCACTTTCTATCATACCGTTCGAGAATTTGAGAAAAATCATTATTCCAACATTCTTCTGTTGGCATGTCATCTTCTTGGTCCATCCAAAACATTATTGTTATTTGACAAATTACATCAGAAGAAATATACCTAAATATACATTAAATCAATGAATATAGAGAACCAATTGCATTCAAAAAAGAAACAAGATTATTTTCTTAATTGTTCAAACAATATTCTTTACATATTCCTATGCAACAAGACATCTAGTACTGTCAGGTGAGGTAGTCGTAATATCTATTGAAATGAATAGTCTGTTCCATTATACTTGTTTCAAGAAATTTATATTAAAAATTGAAAGATTTCGCACGTAAAATGCGAAGAACTTTCATCTTTATTAAAAAAGTTTCAAGCTCATCTACCATAGTTTTTTTTTATATCTAAAATAAATATACATCGCACAATATAGACAAACTTTTTTTCTCAAATTGATAATAGAACCATCAAAAACAAATTATCATCGAAGTGATCATAGCCAGTTTTGATTATGTACAAATTTATATGAAACAAAACTTAAATGAATAAAAAACAGAGGTGTCTATAGGGTAGGATATGGTCCTTTTACCCTATGAAAAATCATCAGAAAAAAAAATTATTGATGCCTTTCTTTTTCTTTAATATATTTTTTAAATAAAGTTCGATAGTAAAGCTTATGAATCTAAATTCTGTAGATACCTCTGATATAAAATAAAACTGGATAAATTTCATAGAAATCGTTTGAATAATTAACATGTGTATTTTTCAATTGAAATTTTCAAACATTTTCTACTGCAATTCAAATTTCATACATACCGAAGATATTTCGAAGATTTATGCTCATATATACAAGTACCAATTAAATAATCATTAGCTTGAATATCAATTGAATTTGGTAATTGATAAAAAGTTTGAGGCCAATGAAGGTTTCCTAATTAAGTTTTATTATAACTAAATACTAGAAGCTATTTAATCGACTACCTTTAAATATTGACTGTAATTCATGATGTCGTACACGATATAATGAAATACTACGACCTAAATTATTTCATTATGGTTTTAATATGAAATAGAATTTATTATACCTTCATTTGTTGAATATAGTTGAGTAGAAAATATTTGCATAGATGATGAATGATATTGACAAGAAAAATCAGCATGATTTTCTAAAACTATACAATATTAATATTTATTATTTATTCAAAATTACTTTGAAAGGCAAATTTATTTGTTGCTATTTGATAAGTTCCTATTTTATATTTTGGTCTGAATAGAAAAGAAAAATACTCACGATATGATTTGCTAATTAGAAATATTTTAATTACCTTGTACGAGTCATAGTTATTTGTTCTCCATAGATATCATTTATGATAGATTGAGAATATTTTATATGAATAATAACATATCGATATGGTGTATTGGTTCCTACTCGAAAGCCAGCCTCTAAAAATATTTCAAATTATACAAAAAAAAAATCAAATAGCTAATGAATAAATCAAAACAACCTTTAGGCCATTGTACAGCAGGTATGTTATAATACCACTCATAAATTATCATTGATAGATCCGTGTTAGAGCATGGTTGATGACCAAACCTAGATTAATGTTTGAAATCGATCAGATTCTTTGTTTATTATCATAAAACAAACCAAAAATTTTCTTCTACTGAATATGGTTTCAAACAGAGATACGTTGTAATAAATTGAACTTTCTGACGATCATATATTGGATGAAAATCGACTAATGTCATCAAAAACAAAACTATAAAACACGTATTGTGTCAACAAAATGACTAACCGATATATAACTCATCATACATCGGCAGTTTCATTGATATAAATATTGATTGGTTACTCTAAAAATTATGTCTATTCGTTTCTAAATAATCAAAAAAACATTCATATCATACCACAGACTCATTAATACTTGGCATGGTCATTGTAACATTGAAAACTTCTGACGAAACACTCGTTGATATATTAAACACAATCACCGAAATAAACAATCTGTATATAGCACTCATTTTGACAAAGAAAAGAATGAATACTAGCATGTAAAAGACACATCTGAAAGAAGCCAAGCGTAACGTTCGAACAGTCAATTTTATTATAGGAAAAAGAAAAAAAATATTGATGTTTTTTTTCCTCTTAATATGAGAACAAAGAATAACCGAATTTAGATCGAATCATATGAAACTTATATACATTAAATAAAATAAGTAGATACATTTGATAGATATGTTGATAATTACATGATTGAAAACTTGATATAACATCTATGAAAACGTTTAATATAAGATCGTAATAAATGAAAATAGTATCTCGAATTTTTAGAAGAGAATAAAATATTGATCAATACGAAACCAAATTAATAATATAAAAGGTACGTGAATCGATATGACCTTTAAATTTTCATGTATGTAAAAAAATCAGATATCGTTGTAGTAAAGATATTAAATATTAATAATAAATGAATATATGAAATTTGTTTTGAATTTGTACGATCAAAACCTCTTGCATAATTTAGTGAATAACCAATATAATATTTTTCTCAAACATAACAAATTTTGTTATCATTGTTACAATCATATAAAAATTGCTATTTGATGTTGTTGTTGATGTTGTATTTTTATGTGAATTTTTTAATGAATCCTAATAATCTGTTTTAGGTCATAACTGACGTTATATATACATATGATACAAATACAAAAAGAATAGCAATTAAAGCTAAATTATTAGTGTACAAATAAAAAAAATCTAAATAATAAATTCATTGAAAAAGAAGTAAACCAGAAAAAAACTAAGTTTCAACAATAAATGCATATATGATAATGTACCACGATCAGAATACTAACCTGGATCAAATTTAGTACGTGATAAAAATGTAAATGTTAATACAGTTATTATTGATTGTATAATATTGGTCAATGGTAAACTCCAAATTGAAAATAAATATTTAAATGTTTCATAACTATACAAGAAGAAAAACAAATAAATTGTAAAGATTTAAATATCTGAGTTCTGTTAATCAATTTTTTATTAATTATGACAAGTGAAAAATCGTTAATTTCTAAAGATAATTGAAACTAGGTTTGTTCATCTTATTGCATTCCCAGTGATAAATTGGACCGACTCTTGTGTCCCTGATATTTTCAAACTACATAGAGTGCTGCAAAAGTTTTTTCTTGTGACTCTTCTAACAGACACAGCTTGATTGCAATCTTTCTACGATAGCACTTAAATATATTGCAGATTATATTCAAAATTTCACACTTTGAAGCTGCTCTCTTCGTTGTATTTCTAGATTTTTATTTTTAAACTAGTAGTTTAGCATTTTTCAAATAAATTTCGAATTTTCACCCGAACATTTTTCAAACAATGATTTTACATAATTAGCAAAACAGCTCGATTTCCAATAATTACAATAGAACAATTTTAGCATTCTCGATGAATGTATATTCAGCATATTGATAACTGAAAACAATGTCATATTGAATTAAATCGTTAATTTCTAACTAAACTTCAAGGAATTAACACAGGAGATATTGGAGAAATTACACGAACCACGTGATCATATCCACACCCAAATACAGCTACTTGAAATTTTTATTCTATCGCCTAACATTCATATTCACACATTTGAATTCTTATTCAAGCACATGTAATGATGATTACAAATGAAATATTTTATGAAAAATATTGCGAGCTGCGCAGATGAACAACAAAAGTCTGTCTTTCATCGCATGCTAGTGATAGTTGTACTAATTTGAATCCGGCCATCTTTCACACCAATGAAAATGATATTCATGATGCGTAAAACTAATTCTATTCATATTTATAACAAAGTTTGTAACAGACAAGACAAAAAGGAAATTTATATGAATAAGTAGAGTCGGACATCCTCAAAAACAAGGAGCATTCTTTGATCTTATTCCAGTTGATTGTTTCAAGTGTACTCATTCATATGATTTTTGTGAGTTCAGCGTATGAGATACTTTGAATATGCACATAACGCATGCAAACAATTAGGAACTTGTCATCGGAAAGAAAGTCATGTGTTATGAACACATTTTGAGGTCTGTACATGTCAAGCATATGAAAAAAAAAGTTCACTTAGGAAATAGAACCAGAAAAGTCAATGCAATTGTAATAGTTATGATTTTCACAATCTGATTCGCTAATATGGAGTATATCTTTCTCTTTTTTCTTTTACGATGTGTTACAAATGACAAGTATGACATAAGGACAGAGCAGTACAAGTCAAGTCTGATTTGACTTGACTTGCATATTTCTGCTTCTCACACACTATCATCCTACTCTTCAGCCTCATCCATACCCTCAATGTATGATATTTTGCTCTAGACTATTTCCTCATTCGATATTCTGATCTTCGCTGATTTCTATTTCTACATTTTTTTGTGCTTTCCATCAGATCCTTTCATAATACTGTCAGTTTTTGATGCAATTGTATTTTTAATAGAAGGAACTTTCTTTATTTTCACTAGTTACATATATATAATTAAAAGAGTATCACAAAATCACTAATAATCTAATGCTCATGTAAGTTCTATTCTATTTTTTTTCATATATATATATATTGTGCGTCAATGGAATTTTTTCTTTCTTTTATTCTTCTTTAAGATTATTGCAGATTACTTGTTTTTCAGATAATTATAGTACATTGTGAGAAAATATAGATGTCATTGCATCGCATGACATATTAATCATAAATAAACAAGAAAATTTCGCAAGCAAAAAATTGTATCATAAAAAAAAAGAGGTCAATATTTTTGGGTTACATAAGTTTCGGCTCGGGCTAAATTTCTCTCACTAACTGCTCTCAAAATCTAACATTCTATGAAAAATTAGTTCATTTCTTAGTACTTAGCGACATGCATTTTCAATTAGACATAGTGCTAAGCAGTCTGCTTTGATCCTATTAAAAATAATGTTATCTTTTGAGATAACTATTACATGTATGCAACAAGTGCCGAGAAAAAAACTTGTAATGCTCAAGAGGACTATCAAGTTATGCTCTTCTTATCATCTTTAAATAATCAACGTTTCTTCATAAATGTTGCCAATATTTTGACCTTTCTATTACGTATCTATTCTAAGCACTATGGAGTATATAAAATATTCATAGAAACAAGGCTTTTTATGACGATTAATGAGAAGAATTTGATCCGTGTTCGTGTCGAAATTTCGATCTGTTTCTTTTTTTTTTATTGCAATGTAAAGTATGCAAAAAAAACAACCTGCAATAATCTTAAGCCAAAATAACAAATGATGAGTGATATTCAAATGACTCACACTGTATCTTCCTAGAGACAATGTTTTTTTTTTCTTTTTATTATTACAAATTATATTGACATTGTAAGCCTTATTCTAATTTCAATAGTTGAATCGATCTGTTTTCTAAAAGCAGCAAAGTTGTTTTTATTTTCTATTTTTTGTTGAAACAAGAACAGCAAAAAAGCAACATTAGTAACATGAAAACATTCTAAAGATAATAACTACAAAGACATCATTTGATTTGTTGCTTGTTTTTTTTTTTTTTACTTCACAAACCATGTTCATTCATGAAATCAATAATGTACCATATTTTTTTAATTTTCTATTTAACTTGATTACTAGGAGTAATTTTATATTTTGCAATACCAGATTCTTTTAAAATACATATATGTTCTAAATCACGAAAATATTCATTATAATCCTATCGAAAAAAAAGAGAAACGAAAATATTTGAAAAATAAAGTAATATATAAATTAAATTTATGTTTTTTCTTACAAGTGCATAGCCAACAACAAAATGATCAGGTACTTCAAAACCACAATAATCTGGTTTAAAAGCACAAATTTTATCTTTACGTCTTTTTGTTATTAATGAAACAACACGAATAGTTTTCGGTTGAAATTTTTCAAGTTCTTTTTTTAATGTAGCCATTGTAAGACCTTTATCAATAATATCTTCAATAATAAGTAAATCTTTATTTTTTAATGTATTTAAATCACTTAAACCAATTATTTCAAGTCGATCTGATGATTGATCATTAATATAACTTCGTGTACGAATAAATTCTAAACTCATTGGTAAACTACGATCACTTCGAAGACTAAAAAACTAATTATTAGATTTTTGTTCTTGAATCAAAATAAAACTAAACAAACCGATTTTGACTTTGAATTTTTGAAACTAAATCTGAAAAAAATCGATAACCACCTTTGAGTACACACAAACAAACTAAATATTATACAAAAAAAAAAAAATAATAATAATAAATTAAATTATATTTTACAAAATTCAACAATATATGTATATAATTACTGAGTTGTTCAGGTATACCAATATGTAAATCATCAAATATTCGATTAGCTAATGCTTCAATACGATCTTGAACAAATCCATAAGGAATAAGAACAGATTTTAAATCATTACGATAATGTAATGGTAAACTATAAAATAAAATTTTTATATAATTTATAGAATAAAGAATAAAACATATAATATATTTACTTGAAATAATGTAATGGATAACCTTCAAATGAATCTGATATGATCAATGGATTGGCTTCAATATCTTTTTTTGAATTCTTCTCTACGGCTGCCATGTGTCACTGTTATATTATTACTTATGTTTGTCTTAAATATACAAAGATTGGTTGCCCAAAAGAGACCAGTAGTCTTTCTCTTTATATATAATCGTACTATTCTATTCCAGTCGTCTGTTTTTTTCTTATTCTTCTACAT